GGATATATCCTGGAAGCACTTGGATATATCCTGGAAGCACTTGGATATATCCTGGAAGCACTTGGATATATCCTGGAAGCACTTGGATATATCCTGGAAGCACTTGGATATATCCTGGAAGCACTGGGTTTGTGCATCCATCTCACAGACTGACGCCAACAATAAGTACTGAGAAGAAGTTATGGAAGCCACCTCCACCCACAACATTAAAGACAGAGTCGACAAAGAATCTGAACGTCAGAATAAGTAAACTATAACGCAACAAAAGGCTATAGTTTTTTATTATTATTATTATTATTATTATTATTATTATTATTATTATTATTATTATTATTATTTTCTACCACAGACGTGGCCACACATTTACAATGCTAACCAGCATATATACATTTTAGTGGGCGAGGCATAAGAAGCTAGACCTCACTTGCCCTAACCCCCCCCCCCCCCTTCACAACCACTTAGGCTGAACGGTAGAGCGACGGTCTCGCATCATGCTGGTCGGCGTTCAATCCCGCGACCGTAAAAGTGGTTGGACACCATTCCTTCCCCACCGCCCATCCCAAATCCTTATCCTGACCCCCTTTCAAATGCTATATAGTCGTAAAGGCTTGGCGGTTTCTCCTGATAGTTCCCTTTCCTTCCCTTTCCTTCCCTTGTCCCCCCCCCCCGTAGTCACTGATACGTAAGCACTGATAGGTAAAAACACACACACACACGCACACACACACACACACGCACACACACACACACACACACGCATACACACACACACACACACACACACACACACACACACACACACACACACACACACACACACACACACACACACACACACACACACACATAAATAAACTGCCCGCGTGTCATTTTAAAATTGCTGACAGATCCGACAAAATAGAGAGAGCGAACTCTTGTGTTGGCGGAAAGACGATGACTTTTATGTAGGGCTCTGGCTCTGCTGCCTGAGCAGTCGATGGATGGGTGTGGAAGGGATGGGACGGGACGGAATAGAGGGACCGTGGATAGAGGAAGGAAAGGAGGGAGGGAAGGAAGAGAAGATAAACGGAATGCATGGGTTTGGGGGGGTGGGGGAAGGAAGTCGTGAGATAGTCGGTGTGGAATGGGAGGGAGAGGTGGAAAAGATGAAGAGAGAGAAGAGGGAAAGTAAGTGAATTAGTGGATCTATTAGGAACAAGAAAGGAGCAGGGTAGATGTCTCGGTTGAGAGAGAGAGAGAGAGAGAGAGAGAGAGAGAGAGAGAGAGAGAGAGAGAGAGAGAGAGAGGAATAAGTAGAAATAAATGTATGGGACTGCATGAGGAAAGACGAGAATGGATGACTTGAAGAGTCTGATGAAGAGAGGGGAAAGTCTGGGAGTAAAAGAAGGGGAGAGAAAGATTAACCGTGATGGGGCGATGGAGGGGAATGATGGGAGATTGAGAATTAACGAGTGGATGGGAGGGAGGGTGGAAAGGAATGAACGAATGGAAGGGGAGAGGAGTAGAGAGAGAGAGAGAGAGAGAGAACTAATTCACATTCAGGAAGGGTCTCGCTAAATGGTTCCGGCAGGTCTCCAAGGCTCTCCAGGGTGTGAGAGGGGGAAGCAAGGGTGAGAGGGAGGGAGGAAAGAAGGTTAGGTTAGGCAGGAAAGGAGAGATAAAAGAAAGAGAAGGGATAAGAAGTGTAGAGAGGAGAGTGAGAGAACGAGGGAGAGTGGAAGAAAAACAGTTAATGATTGTATATATTCCTCATTATACCCAGAGGTGCCACCATCACCATCACCTTTCTCCTGACACCACCACTACCCTCACAATCAGACCCAGTGGTGTCTGATTGTGAGGGACACCACTAGCATCCTCCTCACAACACAAACATATCTCCTGACACCATTCCTGTGCAGACAACAGCACTGCCAACCTCACGATACTGAAAATAAACAGCCTAAGAAGACTGGGAACAAATCCACGTTGGCCAGACCAGAGAGTGTGATAGATATCTCACGAACTCGAGCAAGGTATAGCCCCAAGGTATACCTCCAAGGTACACCATGACAGTAGAAAAGTAAACTGAACAAGACTTTTTTGATGGCTAGACTGTCTCTGGATAGAAGACAAAACTGCCTTAGACAGTTAAGCGAACAGATGCCATTAATAACACAGGATTCTCGGAGGAAAAAGGCTCGTTGGTGGGGCGCGCTGGAGAGGAATTTAGGATTTGATAACGATAGAATTTGATAGGAAAGGGAAGGGGGGGAGTGGGGGGGGAGGAAAGGGATTGGATCTGAAATACAGGAGGTGTAGGATGAGGATAGAGACCGGGTGGGATGTATAGAGAGCTTAATGGCCCGTCTACTTCGAGTTGGCAGTAGTTGTGTGAGTGGTGGTGTGTTGGGTCAACGGGTTATCTTGAGGTTATCTTGAGATGATTTCGGGGCTTTAGTGTCCCCGCGGCCAGGTCCTCGACTAGGCCTCCACCCCCCAGGAAGCAGCCCGTGACAGTTGACTAACACCCAGGTACCTATTTTACTGCTAGGTAACAGGGACATAGGGTGAAAGAAACTCTGCCTATTGTTTCTCGCCGGCGCCCGGGATCGAACCCAGGAGGAGGTCAGCGCTGGGCTGACCAGTGGTGTTCCGGGGCCAGATTCACGAAGCAGTTACGCAAGTACTTACGAACCTGTACATCTTTTCTCAATCTTTCGCGGCATTGTTTCCAATTATTAAACAATTAATGAGCTCCGAAGCACCAGGAGTTTTTTTTATAATAATAATAACAGTTGAATGGGAAGTTTTCATGCTTGTAAACTGTTTAATAAATGTAACCAAAGCCATCAAAGATTGAGGTAAGATGCACACGTTCGTAAGTGCTTGCGAAAGTGCTTTCGTGAATCTGGCCCCCAGGCTTTTGCGCGTCGGTGACTTTGACTTGTCTAAGGTGGGTGTCAACACCCGCAATAACACCCACTTGGAGGTGTTATTCATTCGGTTTAGTTACTTCTTGAACTGAATATTAGTGTGGGAAGAGTCATCAGGGTCGTCTGAGAGGTCATTCAGGATACGGGGTCACGGGCTATGAACATGTCTCATCACTTGTTGACGGAGTGATTCTTCTGGGTCTATTAGATGGGGGGGGGCGAATGTGAGAGGGAGAGTGTGTGTGAGAGAGAGAGAGAGAGAGAGAGAGAGAGAGAGAGAGAGAGAGAGAGAGAGAGAGAGAGAGAGAGAGAGAGAGAGAGAGAGAGAGAGAGAGAGAGAGTACAGAGGAGATGAAGGACGTAAGACAGAGGAGGGGGAGGGAGGGAGAGCGAGAGAGGAAACAAGAGGAGTGGCACAGCATGGAGTCCCACCTGGGCTGACCAAGGCGGCCAACACAACGGAGTTACAAGTGTTCAAGTATTATGAAGGTGTTGTGATGCTGAGAGAACAGTGTAGGGACTCCACGTGTGCCACAAGGTGTAAGCCTGAAGGTACACTCGTAGGGAGGGTGTCGTGAGGCGGAGACGGACAAGGTGTGGTCAGCACCAGCAGGTATGGCCAGCACCAACAGGTGTGGCGACTGCTCAGAGTCCCTGCGAGTGTGTCAGATGTGACGTGACCCCAGCGGCGGGTATAACCTCACGATGCAGTATATACCATATAAATGAATTAGATAAAAAAATGAGTAATGACCCAAAATAAATATCTGCTGTGTGGTGCAATTATCACAACCAATGCCTGCCTAAATGTACATTATATAAGATTATAAGATGGTGAACTATGCCTGGCCATGAAGCAACCAAAGCCCACTTTGGTGGAGAGAGGAAGTTGTGCTTGCGGGGGTGATTCCCTCTCTACATTCCGTAATATGTAAGATGGTGGGAGGTTCTTAATATATATCACATTCCAATTACTTACGATGGAGCCGCGCTTGTCTCAAAACAGGGTTTAAGACGGACGCTTTGATAAACCACTGCCAATGTGTCTTACAATGAAACATTAGACAATGGGAAACTCCCTGGCAACTGGAAGAACTAAACATAGAACCTAGGTTTCCCCTCAAAAAATATGGTTGACTGGACGCCTTGAGTAATAGATCGGTGTCCCTGACCCAATATGCTTAGGTAAAGTATGGACGCCTTGAGTAATAGATCGGTGTCCCTGACCCAATATGCTTAGGTAAAGTATGGAAAAAATAGATCGGGTTGACCCAATACTTAGGTAAAGTATGGACGCCTTGAGTAATAGATCGGTGTCCCTGACCCAATATGCTTAGGTAAAGTACGTGATAGAAATGTTGGGAAGGGCAGGCGATGAGTCACAATAACGTGGCTGAAGTATGTTGACCAGACCACACACACACTAGAAGGTGAAGGGACGACGACGTTTCGTCGATTTGAGAATCGACTTGAAAATGGTCCAGCACGGACCGAAACGTGGTCGTCCCTTCACCTTCTTGTGTGTGGTCTGGTCAACATGTAGGGAAGTGCTATAACAGCACGTGAGAAGTGAGATGCCAGTGGTCTTAGGCCTTATGGTCCCTCCTACCCCCCTAACCAAGTCCAGATTTGACCAGAGTTCAAGACGGAGGCGGAGCACCTCCTCACTCTCCTTACACTTCCCCACCTGTGGGTTTGGGGGTCCAGCCGCGCTGTTGCGTCTTACACTGTGTGTCGGGAAGAACATGGTGGAGCATCTGGAGTGTGGAGACCTGAAGTGGTGGAGAGAGAGAGTGCCTGATCAACCTACCGAGCTGTGCCAGTCACCTCGATCAGACAGGTGATAAGGATGCGTGGATTAGATCTCCCTTGACTGGCCAAAAACCTAGAAAACGCTAATGGCCCGAGGAGATATGATCACAACACTGATCAAATATGATACTACAAAAATTGTGCTAGTCTTTTTTTCCAGATGACGAGAAAACGAAACAAATCGAGTACAAGAGGCACCTTTAGAAGATGGAAATATTAGTATAAGATGGGCAAGAAAATCCTCATTACGGCTCTCGGTGGAAATCAAGTAGAATGGGCTTGGTACAGCGGTCAGGCAAGCAGGGCTCCCTTGCACTCTTCAAGAGCAAAGACGACAGAGTACGCAGGCGTCCGGCGGAGCACATGCATCAGGTACACGAGCCAGGAGCCAGGAGCTGGATCTCGACGGTGCCCCACAGACACAGGTAAGCGCACACAGCTGAAGCCAGCACACTGCTGCCTGTGCGGTTATTAAGAGGAGTCGTGAGGTGCGTAGCGCCCAGATAGTGAGAGATGCTATCACGGGCGCTTTGATTACCGGCGGACCGCCCTTCCCTTCATCCCTCCACGCCTTCCCTCCACATCCTCCACGCCTTCCCTCCACATCCTCCACGCCTTCCCTCCACATCCTCCACGCCTTCCCTCCACATCCTCCACGCCTTCCCTCCACATCCTCCACGCCCTCCCTCCACATCCTCCACGCCCTCCCTCCACACCATAACCATCTTTGGGATCTATGCTTGCCTGCCCTTCCCTCCCAACTCGCAACCCACCCTCCGTCCACCCACTCTCGCGATTCAACACTACTCATACTGCCCATGCTCATAGTCCACGCCCACGCCCACAACCCACGGTCCAGGCCACGCCTCCACCCACGCCCACAACCCACGGTCCAGGCCACGCCTCCACCCACGCCCACAACCCACGGTCCAGGCCACGCCTCCACCCACGCCCACAACCCACGGTCCAGGCCACGCCTCCACCCACGCCCACAACCCACGGTCCAGGCCACGCCTCCACCCACGCCCACAACCCACGGTCCAGGCCACGCCTCGGTGCCACGCCTCCACCCACGCCCACAACCCACGGTCCAGGCCACGCCTCCACCCACGCCCACAACCCATGTCTGCCCCTCTGCCACGACCAGTAATTAATATATCTGGTAGTCCATCTTAGTTCTAAACAATCGGGGTTGACATCCGGATATGATAGCTCTTTTCAGCTTCAAGACGAGATGCTAGGTTCTTGTATACGTTTTCCATCTCTCCTCTCTACAAGTATACAGTCTTCCCTCTCTACAAGTATACAGTCTTCCCTCTCTACAAGTATACAGTCTTCCCTCTCTACAAGTATACAGTCTTCCCTCTCTACAAGTATACAGTCTTCCCTCTCTACAAGTATACAGTCTTCCCTCTCTACAAGTATACAGTCTTCCCTCTCTACAAGTATACAGTCTTCCCTCTCTACAGGTATACAGTCTTCCCTCTCTACAAGTATACAGTCTTCCCTCTCTACAAGTATACAGTCTTCCCTCTCTACAAGTATACAGTCTTCCCTCTCTACAAGTATACAGTCTTCCCTCTCTACAGGTATACAGTCTTCCCTCTCTACAGGTATACAGTGTCCCCTCTGTACAAGTATACAGTCTTCCCTCTCTACAAGTATACAGTCTTCCCTCTCTACAAGTATACAGATCCCTCTCTCACAAGTATTCAGTCTTCCCTCTCTCAAGTATACAGTCTTCCCTCTCTACAGGTATACAGTCTTCCCTCTCTACAAGTATACAGTCTTCCCTCTCTACAAGTATACAGTCTTCCCTCTCTACAAGTATACAGTCTTCCCTCTCTACAAGTATACAGTCTTCCCTCTCTACAAGTATACAGTCTTCCCTCTCTACAAGTATACAGTCTTCCCTCTCTACAAGTATACAGTCTTCCCTCTCTACAAGTATACAGTCTTCCCTCTCTACAAGTATACAGTCTTCCCTCTCTACAAGTATACAGTCTTCCCTCTCTACAAGTATACAGTCTTCCCTCTCTACAAGTATACAGTCTTCCCTCTCTACAAGTATACAGTCCTCCCTCTCTATAAGTATACAGTCTTCCCTCTCTACAAGTATACAGTCTTCCCTCTCTACAAGTATACAGTCTTCCCTCTCTACAAGTATACAGTCTTCCCTCTCTACAAGTATACAGTCTTCCCTCTCTACAAGTATACAGTCTTCCCTATCTACAAGTATACAGTCTTCCCTATCTACAAGTATTATTCGACTTAGTTCCCAGGATTTACAAGGGAACCAGCACCAGGAGGATAACTGGAACGTCGACACTTCCATTATTTTCAGATAGAAAACGGAAAAATAATGGATTCTTCTGATTCTCTTGTGATTCTCACGTATTCCTTCCTTTCTCTTGTGATTCTCACGTATTCCTTCCTTTCCCTTGTGATTCTTACGTATTCCTTCCTTTCCCTTGTGATACTTACGTATTCCTTCCTTTCTCTTGTGATTCTCACGTATTCCTTCCTTTCTCTGCTGCAGTTGGTTCGTTACTTTTTTGTCCTGCTCTCTCTCTCTCTCTCACCCTCTTCCAAGCTCTCCTCCTCTTCCCTCTCACCTCTGAGATTGTGTCCTGCTTCCTGAACCTGTTGTAGGACTCCCTGAACCTGTTGTAGGACTCCCTGAACCTGTTGTAGGACTCATTGAACCTGTTGTAGGACTCCCTGAACCTGTTGTAGGACTCCCTGAACCTGTTGTAGGACTCCTTGAACCTGTTGTAGGACTCCCTGGACCTGTTGTAGGACTCCCTGAACCTGTTGTAGGACTCCCTGAACCTGTTGTAGGACGTCCTGGTTCTGTATTTGTAACAGGACTCAGAATTTAGATTGCCAGCAATTCTAGACAATATATATATTCCATCATTCCTTGCATTAACATATGTTATCATTCTTTACACCAACATATTCCATCATTCCGTACTTAAACCAGCTTATTCCGCCATTCCCTGCGTCAATTCTTCCATATTCCCCATTTCTGTCTGCTAGTCTTTTGTTCTCTCTCTCTCTGCCGTCTGCCCTGTGTGTGTGTGTATTCACCTAGTTGTGTTTCGGGAGTTGAGCTCTGCTCTTTCGGCCCGCCTCTCAAATGTCAATCAATCAACTGTTACTAACTATTAACTAATTTTTTTACACACACACACACACACACACACACACACACACACACACACACACACACACACACACACACACACACACACACACACACACACACACACAGAAAGCAGTCCGTAACAACTGTCTAACTCCCAGGTACCTATTTACTGCTAGGTAACAAGGAACATCAGGGTGAAAGAAACTCTGTCCATTGTTTCTCGCCGGCGCCGGGAATCGAACCCCGGACCACAGGATTACGTGCCCAGCATGTTGTCCACTCACCCACCGGCCCCTGTGTGTGTGTGTGTGTGTGTATGTGTGTGTGTGTGTGTATGTGTGTGTGTGTGTGTGTGCATGTGTGTGTGTGTGTGTGTGTCTATCTTCCTTTATATGTGTCTCTATATGTGTGTGTGTGTATGTGTGTGTGTGTGTGTGTGTGTGTGTGTGTGTGTGTTACTAGTTGTGTTTTTACGGGGGTTGAGCTTTGCTCTTTCGGCCCGCCTCTCAACTGTCAATCAACTGTTTACTAACTACTTTTTTTTTTCCCCCACACCACACACACACACACACACCCCAGGAAGCAGCCCGAGAGCAGCCCTGTGTGTGTGTGTGTGTGTGTGTCTGGGCCCATAGAGCTGTATATACTTGTCTGCACAGAGGCAGTCTGCGGTAACAGCAGCTAGGAGGAGCCACGGGAGCGGAGGGCGGGAGGGAGGCCACAAGGCACACCTACGACACTCACCAAGCACCACAATGGGGCAAGAATATCGGCTCAAATACACAGTGGCGCTCGAGCGCTACCAGTATTAGGGGTAGGAGGAGGGGGTTAGGGGGAGACCCCTTTAGTGGCGGGATGGGGGGTAAAGGGGGACTTAGGAACTCCTTCAGGAGGGAGGGGAGTTCCCCATTCCTCTAAAAGAGGAATGGGGAGGAGAATCTTGATTTTTTTCTTAGTGGTGGGAGACAATCTTGGAATGAGGGAGAAGAGAGGCTATTGGAACTCTTTCTAGCTCCCACTGTCAACATTTCCGGCCCTGGCGAGCACAATGGCACTGTGTTCGAAACACCTTCCTCCCCCCCCACCCCCCCCTCACCCCGAATGGAGACTGTGCCTTCGTTAAATATTATGACATAAACGTTCCTATGAATATGTTAATTAATGCAATAAATTGTCCCAAGGTACTCGGGATTCAGCGCCTTTACAAGAGAAAGGTGGAGTCCTACTCGGTGTAAACAAGATCAGGCGTCCGACCCCGACCAAACCCGCCCATGCAACCGTCCTCGACCCGCGGTCTCTCTCACACACACACAACGCCTCGAACCAACGACTCCAACTATGAACTCCAAGAACTCGAAAACAAAAACAAAAAAGTCACACCCCGCGCATTGATGACGTTAGTGTCATCAACCAGCGATCCCGAAGGACACACAAAAAAGGAAATGCGTTTAATTTTTGTCACTCATTTTAGCCGCGTTGAGACACTTCAGAGGCCACAGTGGATCCTCCCGGCGGAAGGCCGGTTGGGACCTATCCCCTCTATCCCCCCCCCCCCTGTTACAGGACCCAATCCGCTGCCTGCTGGAGGCGTCCGCGCCTTCGTGTGCGGCGCGCCCCCTTGATCTCTCGCCTGCGCAGCCTCATCAACAGCGGCTACGCCTGTACCTCTTAACTAGGCGTTAGTCATAGTTATTTCTCAGTAATATTTTAATGCGGTGTGTTAAGGAAGGTGGTAATTGTGGTAGGACATGGGAAAGGGGGCCTGGGAGTGGAACAGGAGGGGTGGGAGTGGAAGAGGAGGCCTGGGAGTGGAAGAGGAGGCCTGGGAGTGGAACAAGAGGCTTGGAATTGGAACAGGAAGCTTGGGAGTGGAACAGGAGGCTTGGGAGTGGAACAGGGGGAAATGGCAGAGGAACAGGAAAGTTGGAAGTGGAACAGGAGGTCTGGAAGGGGGAACAGAAGACTCTAAGAGTGAATGGGTCAGTGGCTCCTGGTTCTCCTCGAAGACAGGAAGATGTCTTGAGTGACCCCCATACCCACCACATGCAACTAATACTTCCTTGTGTCGGGGACAGGCAGCCTGTATATGTATACACGTTAGGCTTGTATCGTGGCCCTTTCTCACCTTACTTACCCCCCATCCCCAAGATCGAACTATTGACCCTCCCCGGGCAACCCGTTCTCGCACTTTCTTACAGTCAATATTGACTTATTAAATATGTGCATATGTGACATACTACACATACTAGTTTACCTTGAAAAGCTTCGTAGAAAACACCGACCTTACCTAACCTTCTTAGTATATTAAGATAAGCATCTTATTGCTTCGTAATTACAATTATTACTTAACCTATACCTATAATAGGTTGAGCAACCTGAGCAATAGGAAGCAGAGAGTTAGGGTGAGGGGTGAGATCTCAGATTGGCGTGAAATCACCAGTGGAGTCCCACAGGGCTCTGTACTCGGACCTATCTTGTTTCTGATATACGTAAATGATCTCCCGGAGGGTATAAATTCATTTCTCTCAATGTTTGCGGACGATGCCAAAATTATGAGAAGGATTAAAACAGAAGAGGACTGTTTGAGGCTTCAAGAAGACCTAGACAAGCTGAAGGAATGGTCGAACAAATGGTTGTTAGAGTTTAACCCAAGCAAATGTAATGTAATGAAGATAGATGTAGGGAGCAGGAGGCCAGATACAAGGTACCATCTGAGAGATGAAAAACTTCAAGAGTCAGAGAAAGAAAAAGACTTGGGGGTTGATATCACGCCAGACCTGTCTCCTGCAGCCCATATTAAGAGGATAACATCAGCGGGATATGCGAGACTGGCCAACATACGAACGGCATTCAGAAACTTGTGTAAGGAATCATTCAGAACTTTGTATACTACATATGTTAGGCCAATCCTGGAGTATGCAGCCCCAGCATGGAGTCCATATCTAGTCAAGGACAAGACCAAACTGGAAAAGGTTCAAAGGTTTGCTACCAGACTAGTA